AAATGACTTAGTCAGGAGTGCCAGGGACTCATCAGAATCTGTTAAATCAGATTCAGGAATGTCCTCAGAAGAATCTATCTCCGTGATGACCACGGGAGGTAGAAAAGAGACAAAAGGAGTAGAGGTTTCAACTGAAGAAGATTCAGAGATCAAAGCTAAAGGAGAGCTTTTCATTTCCATGGAATCTTTTACAAGATTTCTTTTCAATTGACAAGATTGCTCATGGTTAAGCAGAATCCCGTATAAGTTAGAAAGAGAAATAGTGGACATGTCATTTGACATCTTGAGACACATGGAAAAAGCATCCCAAGACTCAGGAAGGCATTCTAGAAACTTAGTCAAGGTTTCAGAATTAGAATATTCCCTGTCGACAGCCCTTAGATCAATAAGTAGACAATTAAATCTTTGATGTACTTTAGACAGTGTCTCAGACTTTCCACAGAGAAAGCTTTCATACTGTCTTACTAAATTGATCTTTCTAGTCTCCTGAACCTGCGTGGTTCCTTCATATTGGACACADAGAGTATCCCATACGGATTTAGAAGTTTTGAGTTTCATCACATGTGATAAATCTCATCAGGAAGAGACATAGCTATTATAGACCGAGCATGCGTGTCTATAGCTATCTTCTTCTTGTCCTCATCACTCCATTGATGTGGAAGCTTTGGAATCTGTCGTTCAGGAATCGAGGCAGTCGTAGCTGTTGCTGGAACAGCCGGAACAATAGCAAATGGAATATATGGTCCATTTTCTATATAATGTGGAATTTCAGGATCCACACCTTCCAGAAAGAGGGACATCCGGTTCTTCCAGAGGCAAAAATTGTCACGGACAAACCGGGGAGGTTTGGCAAGAGAGTCATTATCTTTTGTGTGTGTGTTTGTAATATGTAAAGCCATTTGAAAGCAGTAAGTTATCTAAGGAGAGATAAATTAATACAGAGAAATAACAAAACACAAGGAAAGAAAGAAAACACTGCTATGATACCACTTGTTGGTCCCGTAAGGGTCTACAAGAATAGAAACAGTTTGTAGAAGGGGGGGATGAATACAAACACAGTATTTTCAAATTTAAAATATATATTGATAGATTAGATCAATACAGATTTTACAAGACTGTTTGCGGAAAGATAAGGTAAAGAAAACCTATCTAAACAATCTTTGGTTACACAAAGATCTTTAGCAAATACAAGAAAAAAGATTGTTAAAAGGAAAATCTTTTACTTAAGCTAGAAGATGCTTGAAGTAAGAAGAGGATAACAGAGAGATGCTCGCACTCTGCAAGGAGAAGAAACACTTTTATTTATACCCAGTGCATTAAATGAACATTTAATTCAATATGGTAGGTTTAGAGTGCGTGTCAAGAGGAAGGCTTGTCCTTTGCTACAGTGAATAGTATAAAAGCACTATTTTTGAGCAGACATCCTTGCTTAAAGTTGGTGGACAAAGAGTCGACTAATCGGCTCCGTACCGTACTAACTTTTGCAAGGGTATGGGTTTGTCCTTTGTGTGCATAAGGACAAGATAACAACAATCGTGCAAAACAAGCTTCCTTTGATCGCTGAATGCTGGAATGACCTGAAGGTCTCATCATCATTCGCTGAAGCTAGAGTAGTCTTCACACATATGTAGTCAGGCTTGTAATCACTGAATACCGCTTCAGATCACGTACTCGCCAGTCTCTAATCTTCAGTTTCAGTCTTCGACGTTTGCTGAAGGTTCTTTGGTGTGAGTGTTGTCTTCTTGAAGTATTGTTGTCTCTAATGAATTTACAATGCAAGTTTTTCAACGATCACTGAACATACTCAGTAATGATCGCTGGAACTGAAAATACAGAAACACAAATACAACGTGAAAGGGAAAAGGGATTATCATCAAATCACTGAGAGAGAGGATCAACACATATGATAAACAACAAACTTGGGTTAGAAAAACTCAAATACTTTCTACGAGGACTTCTAAAAAACACAAGGTAAGCAACATAAATAACAAAAGAAATATAAAAAATAGGGAAGGAGAAAGAACAGGAGTACAGAGATGAATTGAAGTGAAAAAAAACATATAACACATCCAAAACCTTAACACATACAAGTGAAATGAATTGAAATAAAAGCCATACAACACATCGAACCCTAACACACACAAGAAAAATCAAACCCTACTCCACAAGAAAACTCAAAGAACAACAGATAAAGAAATATTGTCGATAAACCCTACACCACAAAAGAAATTACCTCGATTGGGATAGTGATGGATTAACATCAAAATAAGGAGCAATGAATCGGTAGAGGAGCGATATTAGCAAGAACCCTAAATGTATTTATAAGCTTATTTGAATTCACTGGAACTTGAATCGCCATTTTTGAGGAATCAAATTGTCGCTTTAGGAAGGAAGCCATCAGTGTGTACGCGTGATTTGTGTCTAGGGAAGATAATCTTGTGTTAGATATAGCATTGCTAATTTGTAAATTATGCATAAACTTGTTATAGTTAAGAGATTTCAAAGAAATTGTTCTTTAGAAAGTGGTACTATATGCAATACAAGTTGTTTTTAAGACTTTGATAAAATCTGCTTTATAAAGTAATGTAGATATATATATATCTATATATATATATGGCGGAATTGCCACATATGAATTCGAGCACAATTTTGCAAAGAAATAGCCCACTTGTTTCTCGAGAAGAGATGGGAAACATGCGAAAGCTAGGGGAGCGAATGGGATTAGATACCCCAGTAATCCTAGACGTAAACGATGGATACTAGGCTATGTGCGTATCGACCCGTGCAGTGCTGTAGCTAACGCGTTAAGTATCCCGCCTGGGGAGAACCATCGGATCATCACTTATTCGACGAATAGATAATGACCAAAAATCCAAAGAAAGATTTGTCTTTGAGTCAAAATAAGCATAAACAGGCATTTGAATAAAATCGGAAATACCTTTTTCTCATATTACTCTCTCGATACATGATAGGTGCCTAATCAAATGAAACTGATTAGTTTGTGGTAACTGTGAGATCCAATTTCAACCACAAATCAACGGATAAATTAGGAAATTAATAATTATGGTAGTTTGAGTTAAAATTATAATTAGAGGGTATATTAGGTATTTTTAAAAAACTCCTCTCTCCTCTCTCATCTCTTGGACCTCTGGTGAAATCAGTATCACAGTATATCACAATGCGTATCTACCCATTGTGTATCTTTGTTTTTAAGGTTTAAGTTGGTATCATAGTATATCACAATGAGTATCACATTGTGTATCTTTGTGATTACTTGGTACCTGCCGAATTAATGTTCACCGGAGGCCGGAGATTGGAGGTCAGAGAGAGGAGTTATTTTAAAAAGTACCTAAAATGCCCTCTAATTATAATTTTAACTCAAACTACTATAATTATTAATTTTCTAATTTATCCGTTGATTTGTGGTTGAGATTGGATCTTACAGTTACCACAAACTAATCAGTTCTCCCTTAAATGAGCCCCTACATATATATATATATATATATATATATATATACCCACTAGACATGGCAAAAAACTGGTCTCGGGCTGGCCCAAATCGTGTCCCGGTCCCAAAATAGTAATCCCGTAACCGGTCCCGATCCCGACCCAAATATGAAGGCCTTGTTATGAGAACCGATCTCGGTCTCGAGCTGGGCCCAAACCGGTCTGATATAAAAAAAATAAAATTCAATTTTTTACATAAACTTTTTTTGAAGTTATTTTTTAAGAATACAAAAGTTTTATTCTAATACATTTGAAAATTTGTAATAAGGTCAATTAAATACACTTAAAATACGTTTTTTGCGAGAATTGTGAACGTTTGTAAGCTGATATCCCGTATATACACCATATAACACATATATAATAAATATGTTTTATTATAATTTTGTAATTGATTTTTAATCAAATATACTTAAAAAAAAGTTAAAAATAGATTTAAAAATAGCCGTAACGAGGAAAATTGTAAGCGGTCCCAAACCGGTCCGGTTGGTCCCATTTGGCGATCTGTAACGCCCATAATGCAATTAATATGTATATATATAATTTGTATTGTAGGGTGGGTGAGACTGAAATTGTGGACGCCGCCGATGACAACAAGCTTCTGAAGATAAACTCCAGGGAAAGTGAAAGAGGCGTGTTCAGCCTTGGTTCATATTAATCTTTTCTGGACCATCTACCTTATTCTGACTTCTTCGTTTTATGGATGTTAACAAGTTGAAAACGATCAAATGCATGATTAAAGTAACCCCATTTTGGCCTATATATACCTACTACAATCGCCACATTTTCTTCACACCTTAACTACAAACGACCATTCGATAATCGAGATCGACACACACACGCAATCTTAATTAACAGTTGATATATATGTTGGGTGAGAGAGTGGAGGAAGGAAACCAGATGATCAAAGGGAGAGTGGTGTTGATAAAGAAGAATTTGTTGGATTTGAATGACTTAGGTGCATCGGCTCTTGATCGAATCCATGAGTTGTTCGGCAATAACATCTCTCTCCAACTCATTAGCGTAGTTCGACCCGAAGACGAATCATCAGGTATTCCGCCCATTTTCTTCATTCTTGATTTGCATAATGGATGTTCGGTTTGGGTTTACAAAACGTCAAAAATATTAGAATTTATAGTAGTTTTATGCTGGCAAATGTATATATTAATTTGTTATGGTCTCAAACCTCTTTCAATGAATTGCAGAAGGAAGGTTGAGAGGAAAGCTTGGAAAAGCAGCCATAGTGGAAGACTGGATTACAACCATTACACCTCTGATAGTTGAGGAATCAACTTATGCAGTTACATTTGAATGGAATGAGGAGATAGGAATTCCAGGGGCATTTCTGGTCAAAAATGATCATCACAGTGAGTTTTACCTCAAGACCCTTACTCTTGAAGATGTTCCTGGCCATGGTCAACTCCATTTTGACTGTAACTCATGGGTTTATCCATCCAAACGTTACACAAAAGACCGTATTTTCTTCGCCAACAAGGTACCGTTGCTTTGCGCTTGAGAATATCTCAAACCCCATTAGATTACTCTCCAAAAAAACCCATGAATGAAAAAAAGAGAGGTTCCAACATACATATATATAGAGAGAGAGAGAGGGGAGCGGTCAAATGAAAACCACTCCAATTTGTAAAAACCGTAAAAACTAGTTTCATCCGTCGTAATCTTATGAAACTTTTTCATGAAATTGTTTAATCTTGTGAAATTGTTTCATATATTACTTCTAGTTTTCTTTCTTCTTAAACTAAATAAGTGGTTTAACATGTTTTTATAGGCATATCTGCCTGGTGAAACTCCTGAATTACTACGTCAGTATAGAGAAGAAGAATTGGTCATCTTGAGAGGTACCGGATCCGGGATGCTCCAAGAATGGGATCGGGTTTATGATTATGCATTCTACAATGATTTGGGGAACCCCGATGACGATATAGAATATGCCCGACCAGTCCTCGGAGGGTCTTCTGAGTACCCGTATCCTCGTAGAGGGAGAACAGGCAGACCACCAACCAAATCAGGTTATTTAAGCTACATATATGATTTTTGTATCTAGAATTAGAATCACGTGTGACCTTTTCTTCGTGGGAACAACATGAACTACTTTGTTACCGAGATACGTCAACAGCATGAAATGTTAACGTATGTGAGGATAATAACTCATGTAAACCTCCAGTAAATGAAGAAAAGTGCCCTTAGGGTTTCTTTTGTTAGCCATTTTTGAAGGGGTTATATATTAATGGAGTAGGGTTTGGCTTTTGACAGATCCCAAAACTGAGAGCAGGCTTCCATTGCTACAGAGTTTAAGTGTATATGTTCCAAAAGATGAGCAATTTGGACATTTGAAGCTGTCTGGTTTCCTTGGTTATGGATTGAAATCCATTGGTCAATTTCTTGTCTCTGAGGGTGAGGCTCTAACAGACACTACTACCCATGATGAATTTGATACCTTTCAAGATGTGTTGAAGACTTATGAAGGAGGATTAAAGCTGCCTCAAGGCAAACTACTTGATCAAATTCAAGAAAACATCCCTTTTGAGATATTGAAAGCACTTTCTCAATCAGATGGTGAGGGACTTGCCAAATTCCCCATGCCACAAGTTATCAAAGGTACCAAATTTATAACTTTTATTACAACAAAATCATGTTTATATAAAGTCAAATACGTCTAGATGTCTTAATAGACTATTAAACAGTTGTACGTGCTATGTAAAAATGTTGCAATAAGTTTACATGATGATTTTGGACGTCTAAACAAGTTATTTATATATGACACTTTTGTGAAATAGAACATTCTATTAATTTTTTATATGACGATATTTGAAAAACTGTCCTGTAAAAGGATGTGATGTTTCTCGAAAGTGTCCTGTAAAAAAAAGCTAATAACATACTTTATTTCAAAAGTGTTCTTAAAAATTTGTTAATACATCCAATCGTCCTATAAAACCAATTCTTTATTAATGAGATATTCCCTTTTGTATTTGGATCAGAGGACAAATCTGCTTGGAGGACCGATGAAGAATTTGCAAGGGAAATGTTGGCTGGAGTCAACCCCGTTAGCATTCGTCTACTCAAAGTAAACTCATACAGCTTATAATCATTCATTTGTGAATATACATGCATGGTCGTTTTTGCTGTCTTATTCACGTTTGGTGAGTTCGACCTTATTTGCAGGAGTTTCCTCCAACAAGCAAGTTAGACTTTGAAATCTATGGTAACCAAAACAGTTCCATAAAACCTTCACACATTGAGCAAAATCTTGATGGTTTAGAAATAGAGGAGGTAACTTTTAAACCCAATTAATCGCTAGTTAATTCACATGTGAATGATCATTAGAAAGTTAAGTTTATAAAATTCGATCGTGCAGGCAATCAAGTCGAGCAGACTATTTATACTCGACCACCATGATTCACTGATGCCATACGTGAGGCGAATAAATGCAACACCCACCAAGATTTACGCAACACGAACATTGCTATTTTTGCAAAAAGACGGAACTCTAAAACCATTGGCAATTGAATTGAGCTTGCCTCATCCCGAAGGAGATCAACTGGGCGCCATTAGTAAAGTGTACACTCCAGCTGAACACGGAGTTGAAGAGTCCGTTTGGCAGTTGGCCAAAGCATATGTAGCGGTGAATGACTCTGGGGTCCATCAGCTCATTAGTCACTGGTAAGAGCATCCACACTCATGAAACATTTGTCTGTTTGATAACCACTCGATCTCACTATAACTAAATAGAGTTTATAGAACGCCAAAAATGTACAAGTGTCTTAATAGAAATATTTTATAAGACTTTATAAGACCAAATACTTGTGTTTCCTATGTAAAAAGGTTACACTAAGTTTATAGGACGCTTTTAAGCGTTTAACAAGTTTTTTTTTTTTTTTTTTGGATATTTCAAAAATAAAAAGTCGTAATAGTTTTTTAGATGACACTTTTTAGAAGTATTATAACACATCTTTTTTATATAATACTTGTTTTTATTAAAACACTTTTTCTAATGATATCATAAAAAACCTTGTTAAGACGTCCAAAAACATCATATAAACTCAATGCAATGTTTTTACATGTAACTCACAATTATTTGGTCCTATAAACTTAAATTCTATAAAATAATCTATTAGGACATTTAGACATATTCAGCATCCTATATGAACATGATTCTATTGTAGTGTGACCATACTTTTGTTTGAGTACTTCCCTAAATGTTTTGTTACCAACATTTGATTTGTATTTCACAGGTTGAATACGCATGCTGTTATCGAGCCGTTTGTGATTGCAACAAATCGGCAACTAAGTGTTCTCCACCCGATCCATAAACTTCTCCAACCTCATTTTCGTGATACAATGAACATAAACGCCTTTGCAAGGCAAATCTTGATCGACGGTGGAGGTTTTCTCGAGCAAACAGTGTTCCCAGGGAGATATGCAATGGAAATGTCGTCTTTCATATACAAGGATTGGGTGTTAACCGACCAAGCACTCCCTGTTGATCTTGTCAAGAGGTAGACTATTCATATTTAACAGTAACAAAATGAGTTTTTTAGTTAGGTTGAACGGATATCCTAATAGAATAGTTAACGAGACTTTCAGATTATACCAAAAGTTGTTCGACGTTACAATAAGTTGTTAGCACGAATTTAGACAACCTGACAAGTTTCATCAACGAAATTGGTCAACTTAACAGAATAGATAAAAGTAAATAATAGCTTATTGAAAACCCTTCAGATAAGATGCATGGCTCTTATCCTATAAACTTGAAGACCAAGTATGCAACTAATCATCATGGATTCTTTGCAATATAATCTCCTAACACATGTAATACACAGGGGAATGGCGATTGAGGACTCGAATTCCACAAATGGAATCCGTTTAACGGTTGAGGATTACCCATATGCTGTTGACGGTCTAGAGATTTGGTCAGCCATCAAAACATGGGTTGAGGACTACTGTAGCTTCTACTACAAAAACGACAATATGGTTCAAAACGACACTGAACTCCAATCATGGTGGAAGGAACTTCGAGAAGAAGGACATGGGGACAAGAAAGACGAGCCATGGTGGCCAAAAATGGATTCTTGCCATAACTTAATGGATATGTGCACTACAATCATATGGGTGGCTTCTGCTCTTCATGCATCAGTCAATTTCGGGCAATACGCGTATGCCGGGTATCTCCCTAATCGTCCAACTCTAAGTCGTCGTCTTATGCCTGAACCAAACACCCCAGAGTATGAAGAACTTAAAGAGAATCCAGATAATGTGTTCTTGAAAACAATCACTGCTCAATTGCAAGCACTAATTGGTGTATCTTTGATAGAGTTGTTATCTAGGCATCCTTCAGATGAGGTTTATCTTGGGCAAAGAGAAAGTTCGGAGTGGACGATGGATTCCGAACCTTTGAAGGCGTTTGAGAAATTCGGCAAGAAGATTAGAGACATCGAGGGGAGAATTGTACAGAGGAATGGTGACCATAATTTGAAAAATAGGATGGGACCGGTTAAAGTACCATATACCCTTTTGTATCCAACCAGCGAAAAGGGACTTACCGGAAAGGGAATTCCAAACAGTGTGTCGATATGAAGGCACTTCAATCATCGTATAAACCAAACCAAACCAACTCAACTCAGTATATACTATTCAAAAGTACAGTACGAAATAAATGGGATATATGCCAACCCACCTATCTCAATTTGCGTAAAATAATGATTTGTTTATTGTAAATTTGTCTTGTTTTCTTTTCTAATAAAAGTGGCAGCCTTCACCATGGGATACCTTGATTACCGTAGTTTGTAGGAACTTTGCCAACATTGATGGATCCATATGCAAATGTCATTATGCTCATCCGTATATCATAGAGTTTTGTTGTTCCTCAACCTGATTCACGTAAATTGTTATTTCAACGAGCAAGAGTTCAAGGAAAAATTGCATCAAAATGTAACCAATTTTTATTTGATTCTTATTTTGAGGAACCAACTTCCAAAATCGTCATTTAGGGGTATCTATCAAACTTTTTGTTTATTTAAGAGTCTGGTTGATCTGTTGAACAGGTAACAGGTAATTTAAGGGTCTCTATCAAACTTTTGGTTTGATTGGTCAAATTTGATTTAAACTTTAATATTGATATGGATTAGTTAGATATAAAAATCTTGAATGTGATATTTAATATTTATTTTTTATTGCATTAGTAAAAAAACAATTTTTATTGTGGTAATTTGGATTTTTTTGAAAAAATCTTCAATTTGACATCTGAATTAAAAAAAACGAGATTTGAAATGAAAAATAGATTTTATTGCATTAATATTTAAAAAAAAATGAATTGTATTTATTTTTCTATAATTATTTTGCAAGTTGATTCCCCAAATAAGAATCAGATGCAAGTTGGTTCCCCAAAATGATAGATTTTGAAAGTTGGTTCCCCAAAATAGGAATCAGGTGAAAGTTGGTTCTATTTTGATACAATTTTCCCTTCTTAAAAATGAGCCCCAAACCACTCGATGTGTATTATGGGGCTCTATAAAGCACGAGTATGCAAGTTCACGAGTGTGCAAGTCAAAATTTTGTAATGTGTTCATAGCAAAACTCAAAAGGATAGTATTCAGATAACCTTAAACTCGCACGATGAGTTTCTTGATGAAGATTTGAATTTGGCTCAAAAATACCCATACTTATTAATTATGCTTGATTGAAAAAGGTAAAAGGTGATGTCCAATTGATAGGGAAGGCAAGACATACATTTAGACCATTACAGCTTCAAGTAGTATCTACATAGAAAGAAAGGTAGATACACACAGTTCACTCACACACATAGTTGATCGTATCTTTATGCTTCAACTTCTGTTATAACACCTGAAAGAATTCTTAAAAGCATTCTGTAAGAAGTTGACGATGGTGTGCTGAAAAGCAAAAAGGCAGGTACGATCATTCATTTTCTTCAGCAGTGTTGATAACATTTTGGTTTTCCTATATACTAGGAGGATTTGTGGATTATTGAAAGGTTGACACATGGGATTCCAGCAGGGTTTACCATGTTCCTAAATTCCCATAAGGGGATAACATTGACTGTATGATCGCTTAAGCCAAATGCACCTGCCTCTCCCACCTAATATCCTCGGAAAATTCCATTATGGCACCTCGGGGATCACCATTTGATAAAGATAAGTAGTACTGGGCAGTACCATCATCAACATGCATGCTCCTTCTCAAAGAGTCGATTACCCTTCTCTTTCCTCGCTCGGAAGTCACCTTTTTTGACACACTAGCCACCACTCTATCAGGTCCACCTTCCAGATACAACACTGCCACTTCCCTCTTAGAATGAGCATCCAATTCTATATAGCATGAGCCATCAATGAGGATGTTTGGCGTGCTTACAGGGATTAACAATCTGTCCCTTGAATGTATCCCATGGTCACTCATCATGTTGTTCAGGCGTTTTATGTCCGTAACCTGATGAAGAAAAAGAGTTGATCATATCTTCAGCCACATCCCATTAAATTAACCACAAAGTAACCAAATGGAGTTTGATATAAGAATAAGTCCTCAATATGTCACTAAAAAATTCCCAAGAATAAGACCACCATATGTAGAATAGAAACATTACAAAGAACCCTGAACATTCTTGACAGAGCAGTACCATTTTCATCTATATGATCGGTCTCCTGATTCAATTTGATTGAGATATAATTGGATGTTTTACTATCAAATCTAGAAATCATATGTATTTAAAGTTGAAAATCATCAATTAGATAAAGTAGAGAATCCAGTGTTTATAATTTCCAAGGAATAGAGCATGACGCATAAATGCAAGAGAAGGTGAAACATTTCCTCTGCCACTATTGGAAGCTGTAGAAAAAGTCATATACTCAAATGGCGACTACCCATCAACCATTTCAACTTCAATTACAATTTCATCTAGTAATAAAATAACTTGCACAAGTGAAAAATAGCCTCACAACCCCACCATCTTCTCTGCAGTCACTTAAACACCACTTCCAACCTAAGTAACCAATAGTCAGATTGCTCACTGATCTAATAACATCAATACCACAAAGGAAACATCAAAGGGTAGCTTAGTCCTTGCCTCCTAGGAGGTCAGGGGTTCAAACCCACCAAAGGTTTCGAGGGTGTGTGAAGTTATTTGTTGCATTTGCTGTATATAAAGATTATATACTTAAAAAAAATAGCTTGAGAGGTCATTGCCTTGACATAATCGAGAGTCCGCACATTCAAATTACTTCCCAATTCCCATACCCCTTTTAGACACCAACCAATTCATTAATTCCAACAATATGCTCAAAACAACATATGGAGTGACAGATAATAAACAGCGTGATTTTGTATCAGAAAATTACAAACAGAGTTAGAAATTTAATCCCTAATTATTTGCATACACAAAAGCACAAATTAATGAACAAAAAAGACATGCGAACAGGGATTGAGGTAAACCTGAACGGTATACTTGACAGCGAGGCTAGCGACAGTGTCACCGCGAACCAAACGATGTGAAATAGCGAATCGGCTTAAACTATTATCTCTCCAGAAGCTACCAGAGCTAGGTTTCCCTATCACGTCCTTCAGTTTCCATGGGGCCTTGAAAGCCCTAACCTGAATCTCCCTATCAGAAGCCACTGAACTCCACAACCTACATACACACGCGGACCGCGCTAGATCTACCACTGGTAGCTTTTCGAAGATCGTTCGCAGGATATCTTTACAAACTAAAGCCGGAAAATTAGAATTCATCGGAGATATGGTGGTGTATGAATCATCACCGGCAGCTGCAGATGCCACGGAAGAGGATGAGTGTAGCGTTGGGGTTTGTTGTTGATGGAGTGGTTGGAGGATTTCTTCCTCATCTTCACCGCAACATCCCATTTCTATAGAGATAAATGAATGGACTCCAATGGAGAATAATGGTGTTACGTGGAAAAGAATTCACCTTAAGAAAGTAAGTAAACTACCCAACTAGTCCCTCAACTAATACTCCATTTACTATTTTAGTCCCTTAAAGAAACACCATCATTCTCACTCCTAGGTCGATGATTCAAGGATCGTTTACAAACGTTTATTTGGTAAAACCGTACCCACACTTGATCTATTACCCCTATAATACTTAAACTTGTGGGAATCAAATACATCTTGGTTTTGAACGAGTCCTAAGTTTTTGTAAAAAGGTTTGTAACTGACCTTCGATCGGCCTACACTATCCTGCCCCAAGGGCATTATGTGATAGACAAATCTAGGTACACCAGGGCCTGTTATATGGTTGACTTAAAATAGGTTTTATACAGTGTCAATTTGTCACTTTGTATCGTAATATGTCCAACGCCACAACACATGTGCCTTATGAAATTGTGATGTCTTCAATATAGGGGCAGACCTATGTGGGACATACGGTAGTTTGTTGCTTCATGGTTCTATGCAGTACTGAAATTCTTTTTACATTTTTGAAGGTTGTCAACATAATGTTTTCTTGTGTTTGTATTTTTTTTATTAAAACTAACACTATGACAAAAAAAATGTGATGGTTAAGTTGGTCTAAGATGCTAGAATAAAGTATCTTGTATCGAAGGTTGTTGGTTTGAATAGCGATTTTAGCAGGTTTTCTATTTTTCAGCTTTTGATTTTGGTTTTTATATCTTCTGGTTTTAAGTTCTTTTTAGAGGAAAGCAGTTGTGGGAGGGGTTGAACCTATGACCCTTCCTTATTAATGCAAGCAACTAACCAACACATCTATTATGATTTTGTAAAGAAATCTATAGTTTGCACTCTTATGGTCAAATAGTGGCACCACTCTTTGATATTCCATGAGCCATCATACTCTTTGTTTTTTTTGGCATGTCTATCCATGTTTTCAAGACTAATGTAAGTTCTCACATCAACCAAAGTCTTGAAGTTTGAGGGTATACCAAGCTTTCAAGTACATTACTATGGAAATGACATTCTCCTTGCACCCTACTATTTTAATTAGTGTATTATGTATTCATTAAAAATGCATCATGTTGATCTAAAAAATGTGTATGGCTTATTTATATGATGCATATATTGATTTGGTATGACAAAAGGAGCAATATAAGTTATATAGAAAAGCAATGTGTCATTTCTTTCATTTTCTATTCAATTATCTATGGGGCATTTGGTTTGTAGAACGTTTTTGAAAAAAAAAACAAAATCTGTCAAAGAATTAGAATTGAAAGTTCGCTTTGACATGCGTTTGTAAAAATTGAGAAAACTAAACCTAAATCGATTCCAGATGTTGTAGGTATTGTTTTCAATCTCAAAAACTCTCTATAACTCAATACTAACCATTCAAACAACTCGATCATAGGTGTTGTTTTTTGCCATATGTTAGAGTATGGATGTCCACGACAATGGAAAATCTACAAATTCAGGAAATAACTCTTGTCTAATGTTAGATAGTAGGCTTCATTCAAGTTTTCAGACCCTTTGTGCAGAATAACACATGTAATAGTCATTCGCCAAAGGTTAACCTATATACAGTGGGCGCCCATAAATACTAGAGATAGAGAGGATTTAACATATTCATGACCTAGCAATGAGTTGTCGAGTGCAATTGTAAATACATTCTTTGTCTATTCAATATTGTTGTAGGCAATAGTGGTGAATGCCTACAATTTTAAATACCTTATGGTAATAGTATATATGTGATGGCAATTTACATATATGGCAATAAACATATTATTTTATTTTATTTTATTTTTTCTTCACTATATTGTTTGTATTAATTAACATATTATATTATTAGAGATTTGTTTTAATTATATTATGAAATATTGTAAATTGACTAATTTTTAAGATGTCATTTTTGGTCATTTTACATGTTTATCAGTTAGTTTTTGCAAACATGATTTGTTCATTAGCTACTTATCAGCCACCAACTATTTTCTCAACTACCAACTACTTTATCGTCTAGTTTACCAAACACAACCCTTTTAAAATGGAATGGATATAAAGGGTTTCTCAGTTTTCGAGAGACCGAGAGCTCTCTGTTGCCAATCTCAATTTCACAAAAAGCTAATCGATAACCCCTTGAAACACAACCCTTTTAAAATGGAATGGATATAAAGGGTTTCTCAGTTTTCAAGAGACCGAGAGCTCTTTGTTGCCAATCTCAATTTCACACAAAGCTAATCGATAACCCCTTGAAACACAACCCTTTTCATTTATACTTGATAGCTTGCATTAATTACTTATACCATTGCACTTACTACTTATACCTTCCTATTAACATTTACCCTATGTACTAGTATTTGATTATTTGACCAGGGTACCCGTATTTTGACTGTAACCATTAAAATATAAATTTGGGGAACAATTGCTAAACGACAAAGGAATCATCCAGAAAACGGCCAGGGAAACAAAGGTGAACGACCAAGGAAACGACTGGGAAAACATGCAAGAAATGGCTCTGGCGGAAATGCCCATAAGAATTGTTGTTTGGGGGTTCATCCATTTGGAAAACCCTGCCATGAGACCCTAGGGTCGTAGGCTAGGGGTCGCATAACCCACTCTTTTGGATTTGTCTGATATCTGACACAAAGATGTGTTGAGAACATAATATCAGGTTTACAAGAAGTTAAATACATCAATGAACCAATCATACCTCGATTCCCTAATTATGAGGTCATTTTGGTAATGTCATAAGGATAATAATCAAAATAAAGCATGGATACCAATTCCCAAGATATAGGGTCATTTCGGTAATTTATAGGGCAAATACGTAAAGTATTGCTAAAATACCGATTTCCATATTGTAGGGTCATTTTGGTAATTTCATAAGGATTATATTCAGAATAAAACTTAGATACCAATTCAAAGACATATGGTCATTTCAGTAATTTACAAAGCAAATACGTAAAGTATCGCTAAAATACCGATTTGCAAATTGTATGGTCATTTTGGTAATTTCATAGAGATTAGATTTAAAATAACACTTAGATAACAATTCCCAAGACATTGGGTCATTTCGGTAATTTATAAAGCAAATAAGTAAAATATCTCTAAAATATCGATTTCCAAATTGTAGGGTCATTTTGGTAATTTCATAGGGACTAGATTTTAAATAACACTTAGATACCAAATCCCAAGACATAGTGTCATTTCGGTAATTTTATAAAGCAAATACGTAAAGTATTGCTAAAATACCGATTTCCAAATATAGGGTCGTTTTGATAATTTTATAAAAATAATAATATAAAATGAAGCTCATAGACCAATCTCCAAGATATATGGTTATTTTTGTAAATTTTGGAAGCAAATACGCAAAGTATTGCTAAAATACCGATTTCCCATTTATAGGGTCATTTTGGTAATTAAACGAGATAAATAATCGAAATTGGGTCAAAGTTTGCATTTTACAAAATACAAATAAACTTGATGAAAGTTTCATAAAATTTTATAGAGAATTTTTTTTGACTTGAGAACATGGAGTTTCTTATGTGTGAGTAATGTATTTTGACATTTATTCTAATCATTCTGTAACTGGGTGACATAATGATAGTTGTGTATGTTATATATCATATGATAGAATTAGCATGTATCGAGATAGGATTTGTCCCTCCTTTATGACGGGAGTGAYGTCTGTGGGCCCCTTGATAAATATATACTGAAGAAATGCATGCATGCTTAGATAATTAATATGAGATATCATTATCTATTTTATATTAGTATATTATGGAATCAAGAAACTACAGATTGGACATAACAAGAATGACACATTCAATGTCTCATGTTCAATCTAGACATCAAGGATAAAAGAATTAAATGTGTAAACTAAAATTGACTATAAACCGATAATTTGTTGTATCACAAATTCTCGTCATTTGGGTAACGTTGATGTATTGCTAGATACCGCTCATCGTTTATAACTATAAATATGAGATTTATATTTATTACCAACATGTCGAAAACTCATTGGGTCACACGCTTTGAACATATTCGAATAAAAAGTTTCAATAACTAAAATGTTTAATTATCATATCTGATTTGTATCAATTTAATCTGATTAAATAAAATCATATATTATTTATTTTGGACATAAATAAAGATGACTAGGGATGGGATTTGGAAGAGAGTGATGGTGTATGAAAGTCTTACACTCAAGCATGGTGGAGGCATGGTGATGGTTAGGCCATACCTCTCACATCCATATAAAATGTATGACATTTTATGCTAGCATAATTTTGGTCTAGCAATTTTCTCTCAAAATCACCTACAACAATATGCTCCCTTTTCTTTCTAAGTTTTGAAACCATGACTAGCATCACGAGAATGTAAAGAATTCAGATTGTTCGTGTGGATACCGTGGAGGCATCAAGCTTTGTTTGTTGTTGTGATTCAAAGTTTCGCTAACTGTGAGAAATAATTTCGAAACACCCGATTCATTCCGGTTCGTATGGGTCCTTGGAGGGTTACGGTTTTATTTTCTGATGTGCTTGAGATCCTGTAACCCAACAGTGGTATTAGAGCTACTTATGAACCTCTAGATCGGTTTTTGTGACATGCATGCTATATTAAAAAGTGTTTTGTTGCTGTATGGTTTTGTTTCGTAAATGTTTTGGTTTTTTAGTCCCAGAAATGTTCTGAATTGTGATCCCAGATCTCTCAATAACACTAATAATCTAGTTAATAATAACCAAATTATAGTGATTTAATGAACAAAATGAAAAACACTCAAGAAGAAATTATGAACAATTAAGAACAATCTTGAGTGTCAAAGATTTCACTTTGTATATAAGAAAAACGTAAAAGCGACTCTTTTTACAATAGGCCTAATCAACTATTTATACTAATTAGCTAATAAGAAGATAACTATCTAATGAGACATTTTAGCTAATATTCTAATAACAGATAACATTTATC